CCCCTCACTACCAGCCGGGGCACGCAGACAACGGTCTGACAGTTGTCGCCGCTAGCTAGCACAAGAGGGGGAGGAATGCTTCCATTTTTATTTATTTTTTGGTCACACGTTGCTTTTTCATAACGGCACTTTTTTCCTTGTCCTCGCACGATTCATATAGCCCACGGAACACCCTGCTCGCGCGACATGCGTTAGTGGGCTTTTAATTCTTTAATTCCTGCATTCGCGACAAAGCACTCACTCCTGCCGGTGCAGTGCGCTTGACACTCTACTCGGCCTATTCCTGGGCAGGAAGTGGTGCACCGGGGCTGGTAGTTGAAGGGCCAAGACCGACCAGCCCGACCGCCCTAGTTTTGTGCGCGGGGAAAGGAAAAATGCAAAAGCCTGCGCGGCTTTGAACACCACCGGAGAACACGGCGTACTACACCAAATCTAGTACTAGAGAAGCGTAGAGAAGAGAGTGAGGCCAGGGCCTCGCCTCGCGCAAACGTTTCGATTTTCGGATAGAATATGAAAGAGCCATAACAGCAGTAAGAGATATTTTAAGGGGGAGCCAGTGAGTTTTGCAGACGCTTTGCCCAAAATGTTGCAAAAACGAAGCCCGCCAGCGAGGCGGGGTAGTCGCGCTGCAGCACAGCGGCGCGCGGCGCGTGGCCTACCCTGCCGCCGACGGGCGCCCGGACGGCGGTGCACAGAGGAGCGCGGCACGGCAGGTCCCTTTTCCCATTTCGACGTGTGTCGCGTCATGGTGCGTGTCCACGACAAGCGCCGTGCGTGCGTACGTGCGTGCGATTGTGTTTTGGAGCCGGAAGGGAGGACGCCTCGCACCTATCTACCCAGCCATCTAGTCAAAGGTGAGGTAATCAAGGGGAAATAGGCTCCGAAAAATTGTACACCCGAAGTCGAAGTTCATGAACTTCGGCCGAAGTTCAGCCGAAGTTCACTGAAGTTCGCTATGTAAAATTTGATCGGAGTTCACCAAAATCAACCCAAGTTCGCCGAAATCCTTCGAAGTTCACGGAGTTCACCGAAGTTCAAAATCAGACATTGAAGTTCCTCGAAGTTCAAAATTAAATTTCGAAGTTCCCCAAAGTTCAAAATAAATGTCGAAGTTCTCGGAAGTTCAAAATAAATCATAGAAGTTCACTGAAGTTCAAAATAAATAAGTACATTTTAAAGGCTGAACCTAGCGATTTTGAGTGCTTACTATAAGCGAGTCCCCAGCTTACTCAAAGCAGATATTTACGGGCCGAATTACAAAGATTACGGAGGGAAAATTTTGCTTTCATATCTCTTGATCAGGTCGAAGTTCGAGAACTTCACTCGAAGTTCCGCGAAGTTCACCGAAGTTCTCGAAGTTCACTAGAGTTCACTGAAGTTCACCGAAGTTCGTCGAAGTTCAAGAAAACGTACACCGAAGTTCAAGCCTATTTCCCCTTGGAGGTAATCATGCAGGGTGCACCGCCGCCTTCTCGCGACACGACCGGACACGACAATTACTGCCCTCAAGACGGACTGCTCCACCTCCACCCCGTCGCCTCTTCCTTCTTTCCTCATTCTTTTCCCTGCTCTCGTTTCTTCCCCTCTCGTTTTCAAAAGTGAAACCTTTCCCAACATGACAAGTTGCCGGCACTCCTGTCATAAATCTCTGTAAAGAAGATCTTCATATCACACAACACACACGTACACTGAAATACAATGGATTTACGCTTCGCTCTTGGACTCTACAAACAATAGTCATAACGATACGGCACATCCGGTTGGCTAATGACCACTGTATGACACCCATCGAGACCGGAAGTGACGACCACTGTCAATTTGTAACCAGTGCTACGGAGAGTATCCTCAAGGACCATATAAATAATACAGGACGCTTACCTATGTTTTCGAAGCCCTTCGTCATCCCCTTCGCCCCCCCCCCCT